ACTTGTGATAACATTTTCTGTTGTAACATGGCCCTCAGATTCTCCATCTTGGTCGGAAAACTCTTCCTCACTCTCATCAAATCATCTTAACATAGTTTCTTCAAAGTAAGGATCTGTGGCTTTAGCCATCTTTATTTTTTAGACATAGTCATTAAATTGATATGATTACACTAACGGCGTCGCGGAGTCCCACGGACTCTAAGATGTTTGTTAGATGCACTTGCCGTGATAACAGATCGAAGTCGTCTCAACATCCGACGGGTACCATCACCATAGGAAGCTACTAGACAACGCGCGTCGCTTGGTCGACAAATACGAAAGTTATGAAGCAATTTATTTTTTCTAGAGTCCCAGGGACTCCGCAATGCCGGTTAAGGGTTAAACAAGAGTTTCGTATTTTTAGGGTCTTATGGACGGACATTATCTTATGGACGGATGTCCAAGTTACGGACAGTATCCAAGGTACGGGTAGTGTCCCCATATTGCCACAGTATGGATGTAGCGTAAGCCTCATGCTGCTTCTTTCCCATTTCTAAGCCTAGTTAATAGTTACAGAGATTCATGGTGTCCTTATTCTGGCACCTTTTGTTGTATTGGCCAACAGGATAGCCGAGAGACAGTACAGAGATGCGAGTCCACCTCACGCTGTTACTGTTTGAAGCATGATTGCATAAAGAAGAGCTAAGTGTAAATTTAAGTTCTAGTTTTCAGTCGATTTTCAGTCTTAACATAATAACGTACATTTTAAATAATATCGTACAGACTATGTCTAGTGGTTAGATTATTAAGAACATTTATGTCGATTTAGTAGTTACAATATGATTTATATCTTAGGTTTCATTACATTACGTCTTGTAATAGTATTACTTTCGATAGATTGCGCTATATTAGCAGATGAATAACCAGACATAGGTTCTAGAATCTACGGGTTGCAACATATCAGATTTAACACCGCATAAAATTTAACAAATTAAATAAAGTAATGCTACCTTCCATATATTTTCTATAACTTTACACGCATTGTATTTTTCCATAGTCTTTTCATAGAACATATTTAATATTATTTACATACATAGCTTTACTCGACATATAACCACTATAATAATTATTAAAATTGTACAATGCTATTTACCATGAGGATACATCATGAATGAATATAGTCACTAGTTTTAAGTAATAAACAACTGTGTTTCTTTCTCTGTTTATGCCTGGCGCCCAATATTTGTATTTTCGATTTATTATTGTTAGTTAGTTTCGTTCCAGTGAAATACCTTATCCACGACTGCTCTACCAATGAAAAGCTGCCGTTCGCAGTGGTAAAGTTTTATAAAAAAACGCTACAGTGCTACAGGCCTACAGAAAGCTTCGAACAAAATAGTCTAAGAGCTGGCTACATAAAAAACCTTATCATCGTTACATGGCTAATTTTCCTTATGTGTAGCCATTACGAAATAGTCATGTCTGCCAGCGCGATCCCGGTGCTAAAAGCGGGGGTGGCCAACCGAAAGGGTGAAATTTTGACACTAAAAATACACACAATTTTGACACTAAAAATACACGGTACACGAGTTATAATTGCGAAAATAGCTTTTATTTATTATTAAGGAACGTGAAAAATTTTGTTGGCAGACATTTTTCATGTCGCTAAGACAACGTGAAATGGCATGAAATTTTGGAAAAAATATGGCTCACATGCATGCCGATTTGTGGAATGTCATATTTATTCATTTTAAAAGCCGAATTCAAAAGGACAGACAATAAGATCGTGGCTAAATCAGCGGCAGACAGTTATCAAAAGTGCGATATTACTTTACTAGCGCTTTCAGGGAACACCTTGAAAATCGTGCATTTTTTAACAATTTACCTTTATATTATAGAAAACTTTGTAGAACTGCCTGTTCACCGCAAATTTACCCACAGTATAATTTTTTAATCTACCATGATTACTGTATGGTTAAGACACTAAAAGAATACTAATGATAATGTAAACTTACACAGTTTCTTTTTTTCACCAGTAGTTTTAGAAGAGCTTCGCAGTACAATTAATACCATCAAAAATAAATCCTCTTCTGGGACCGACGGGCTAACTTTAAAAATGTTTTCGAATCTGCCAGAAAGCACTCTGAATCACCTAACAACTTTAATAAACATGTCATTCCAAAATGGTATTTTTTTAATGTCTTAAGACGGCAATAATCATTCCTCTGCATAAAGGAGGAGACAAAGATGAAGCTTCTAACTATCGCCCAATTGCACTCCTTCCAACGCTATCTAAGATCATAGAAAGGTTGGTTAAAGGAAGGCTTGTATCTTTTCTGTTTAAGTACAACATACTTACTGAACATCAGTTTGGATTTTTAAGCAACAAATCCACAAATGACGCTATGTTTTCCCTCCTTAATAAAGTTTACTCCAGCCTAAATAACCATCATTCTACAGCAACAATTTTCTGTGATTTTTCTAAGGCGTTCGACTGTGTAAATCATAAGATCCTAGTTAATAAACTGCAGCACTATGGGTTCAGGGGAACATCTCTCGAATGGTTTAAGTCGTATCTGAGCAACAGAAGTCAACTTGTGAGGGTGGATACCACGTTGTCATCTAGCAAGCCAATAGAATGTGGAGTACCACAAGGCTCAGTGCTAGGCCCCATTTTGTTTCTTCTTTTATTAACGACATTGCTGACATAAACATCAGTGGCAAAGTATGTCTTTTTGCCGACGACATTAGCTTCACTTGGAGCAACTAGGACATCACGGCACTTCATAGGATTATATCAAATAACTTAATCACCATTAAATCTTGGTGCGATTCGAACCTCCTGAGTCTCAACATTTCTAAAACTAAAGCTTTGTCGTATAAAAACTCGCTGCAGCCTTTTGTACTTAACAACACAACCATTGACGTCGTAAAATCTGTAAAGTTCTTGGGGCTTATTGTGGACAATTCTCTGGAATGGGACATGCATATCGAAACTTTGTCAAAAAAATTGATCTCTGCCTGTTTTGCGTTAAGATCTGTTTCTAAGGAGCTTTACTTGTCAGTGGCTAGAACTGTTTATTATGCACTTTTTGAGTCGCACCTCAGGTATGCCCTTCCATTCTGGGGTACGTGTTGTGCGACTCAATTTGAACGCATTTTCAAGCTCCAGAAGAGAGCTGTTCGATATTCACTGGGACTAAACAGCAGAACTCATTGCCGGGACTTTTTTAAAGAATTAAAAATATTAACTCTTCCTTCCTTATTTATATTTGAATCCGTTTGCCTAGAATTAGAATTTAGAATAAGTGGGAGGGGGGTTAATCTCTGCGACCTTAGAGATCTATTGTATCCTCCTTTCTTGAGTTATAACTCATCATACAGTCCCAGGACTTCCTACGGAGACACGTGTCCCTCACAGTCGAGGAGCTACGACGTAGAAGGTAGGCTCCCGACCCTTGGAGGAGGTGGTAGCTTGTATGCCACTTGCGGAGGATGGTCTCACGCAAGTGTCAGCCACCTCTCCTGTAGTTCTCTTTGGGTTTGGCCCCTTGGAACTTTCATTGTTACTGTTCCCAGTGTCGCTAGGGGGTTTCCCCACAGCTTCACCGGTGATGTTTTTATTATTATTATTACCAGATCTCATAGTGTTCCTATGAGTCGCTAGGGACAGTCGGTCCACTTCTACAGAGCCCCGCATGTAGAAGAAAGGGGTAAAATATAATGGGGTGCCCCCCGGTGCCCCAAGGTTGAGGCTGTCCGTAGCCCCGCCAGGTATCGTTATATGTCTTGGGGCAATTCCCTGGCCACGACACTAGTCAGGGACAAGACGATGAGTGAGATGCTTTTTAGACCAAGCCAAGTGGTAGGGGGGATTCCCCCCAGCACCTAACCAGGAGCTTCCCCATCAACGACAAGGTCTTGCATCTCCTAGGGGAAGATCCGTTTGCCTAATACGTAAGCACGTATCAGCCTCTCAAGAAAGGCCATCTCACACTTATCCACTCAGGAACGCGGAGCAAGATCTTTATCTACCTACCCCACGGTCAGAGTTAGTTAAAAGTTCAATATTATACAACTCGAAAAAAATGCACAATCACCTGCCATTTGAAATCAAATCCATAACATAATCTTCTTCATTTCGCAAAGCATTGAACTCCTATTTACTAGACAGGGCTTTCTACGCCGTGAATGAATTATATTTTGATAATCGAATTTGATCTTGTAAACACTGGTCTAATGTTTGCTATTGCTATATTTACCAATGACACCGAAATAAATTTATTTAGAGGTCATTAATATTTTTACTATAAACTAGCTAAATATTTTTGAATATTATTTTTACTTTTTTTATTCTTTGACATTGTAAACATTTATATAAATGTTTATCTTAAACAATAAGACTGACATATTATTTGTATAATGTTTTGTATTATCTTTTGTTTGTTTGTTTGTGTACCTTGTTTGTTTACTTTGTTTTTTTATTTTACCTTTGTCTACAAATTGTAAATTTTTTTGACAATAAAGGCATTTATTTATTTATTAAATACAGAAAGAAACAGGTGACTCAAAAATTTATTTAAGAATAAATCTTTCTAAAAATGTCTTTTTAAATTTTCAATCTTAAACGGTTATTTTGGACTTATTTGAAAAACGGTAAAGAGAAAATATATTTCTTCTGTCGAGATACCAGCCCTGAACATATTTGCACTTATCCCAGACTCACCCTGTATAGTAATATTGCGCTTTTAACTCTCTACCGCTGATTGAGCCACGATTTTCTCCGTCTAAAAGGAACCCCCAAGTTAAACAGAAAGCATTGTTATTATTATTAAAGCGGCGTCTACATTCAATGGTTGAGATAGGCTAATCTCAAGCATCTTATTTACGTATGGTGAGAAATTATCAAAAATTTACATATGTAGTCATTGTTCGGCCGTTCAAAAATCGCTTTTAAGTGAACGAACTGCAGATTCTTCCCCACTATGTTAGAAAGCGTCTTTCTGAAATGGTCCGTGCCCAAAAAACTCTGTTTCTATTAATATTTATGAATTTTACTCTTTAAATAACCAGAAAAGCCAAATATTTTATTTAATTTAGTTATATACTGCTCTTGGAAGGTGTTTTTTTCTGAAAGTTGCGATGGATAAACCACGGTTGTCTTTGGAAGTCTCAAGTAAGTAGTAGTATTTTTTTATTTAATTGATTTTTTTTATTTCATACATTTTCATTACTCGTGTTCTTCTATTATTTTTCTTGTCTCTATTCTCTCTTTAGATCTATATTTTCAAGACTTGTTGGTTATAATACCATACGAAAAAAAATATTTTTTAAATATATATTTATTAGTGTATCAAAAAAAACTGAGAAGTAGTTCTTTCATTTATTTTACGATGACTTGTAGGATATATGGATTTTCTATAAAAGAGCCAATTACGGCAAATTTATCCCAAGTAGCATTTGGACGTCATCTAGCGTCGGGTATACGTCGCGTTCAATAAACCCGACGTCGGGTACCAACGTCGGTTCGACCGCCTGGCGACCCTTATTTGCACCTAAATGGGGAATACAGATTCGGGTCGCCTTGACGTCGGTATCTGACCTAATAGGGAATGTAATTCTACCAGTTACCAACGTCATATTACGTTGGATTTTAGTTACTTAAAATTCGTCGCTAAGCACTTACGTTACGTTTGGTTTCATATTCGCTACCAAGAATACATAAAAACCTAACCAAACTACCTAATTACAAATGGATTCATAATCACTCCTCGAATATAACTATAAGTCCCTATTTAATTTCATATTATAATAATTCTGAATCATTAATCCAGACATCAGTTTTGTCAACGGAAGTCACTTTCTTGATATATCTGATTAAAATACTCCGGAAAACAACGAGCGCCTTCAAAATTAGGTAGATTTATGAAATAAAAATATCTATAAAAAAGTAACTCGCAAAATATTTTTTTAATTTTCTAGCTGGTTTAATTATAAAACTGTACTGTGGTTCCCCCCAAACTCAACCTTATCAATATTATTCTACTAGAAATCGAAATGTGAATATAAATTTTAAAAACAAAAAACGATTTTAAAATTGCTGAAAATCGGATATGTGTTAAGAATGGCGGATTTCTGTGTCCGACTTAATTTGGGTGGTTTGTCTTTTAAATTATTTAGAAAAAGAAACATTTAAATCAAATCCTAAAAATTAAGTGCTTGAAGCTTCCCTTTCAAACACATATTTAATAACTTTTTAAGTGTGATATAACCAGAAAAAATATATTGTTTCTTATAAGATCACAATCTTGATAAAACAAATTATGTATTAATTATATAGATAACTTAGTATCATAATTAGAGTATAATTTATATTGTTTAATTATTCACTTTTTATAGTTAATTAGCCTCATCACCAATCATCTTGAAACCAGTAACCTATGAATATTTAAATTAATTTTTCGAACTTAAAGGATTTTCTTTAATATTTGATCCAAATTATGGAGCTAAAAGTTGTTTTTTTTAATGCAGAACAAAACTTAACAATTAAGAAAAACTACAATCGAAGATCTCTGAAATGTCAAGCATTTTAATTAAAAACTTTAGAATTCTCTCCAGAAATTTCATTTACAGGATTTTATTAAATTAATACAGAATACCGAGGAAATTAAAAAATTGATAGAATCTAATCGTCGTCTGTATAAAACTATGAATAGAACATCTTATGATGCTGTGATGATGTAGAAGAATGTTATTCTCAAAAACATTATAAAGATAGAACGAACATCTCATTCATAAATACTCGTTGGAAGTGTATCAAACATTCCAATGTGTCAAGCAAGGACAGAAAAGACAGAGAAGTCTAAAATTTCCGACCCCGGCAACTAGGCGCATTTGGATTGTTCTAATGGCCAGTGGCGTATCGTTTTTTGGAAGGAATTTAATTAGTAAAGTAAAAGTAAAGTAATTAGTAAAATTTTGCTCCATATTAATATACTACATTAACACTTTTCGTCAGATGAGTTTTGTTATAAGGTCTAATATAATAATATAATTAATATCCCATATATATTTATGTTGAAACGTTAGTAGGTAGTTTTCGAAAATCGCTCCAACGTCGATTTTCAATTTAAACTTTCAGCTACTTCTATATAAACTTTCAGTTACTTTTGAATATTTACAGGGTAACTCAAGTTTCTGAAACAGTTCTATATTAGGTTTGTGACTTTTCTTTCAATTTTTTTTCAGAATATGGAGGCAATGGTAAAGCGCATTTTAGACATTTTTGTAAACATAGGTGGCCGGAACATATTTTCAAACTAAAGTTGTAGATTTGCCATTAAATTTCCATTCTAGAAATACCTAGGGTTGCCACCTGTCCTTTTTTGTAAAGGACAGTCCTTTTGACTTTTTTTGACTTAAAATGTAATTTTTATTTACGTATTTTGCCTGAGAAAATTACCAACAGCAAACAGAAATATTCTTTTCGTCCAAATTTAATTAGAGATGTTATAAAACTTATAAATAATTTTTTCTTGTTTAGAACAGGCAACGTTATTTAGAACTTCCCGTTTAATCTCAAATGATAGTTTAGGTTTTAGTTTTACCTTTTTTGAACTTAAAAAGAACTTTTCAAAATTAGTAATTAGTAACGATTTAGTTAGTTCGCAATCGATAGCTTCCTATGAAGTACTGTGTAATAGTTGTTTAATCTTGTATTATTAATAACTTCCTATACCTAAAATGAATATTTAATGAGAAAATTTTGTTTTTTTGATAATGTAAGACAAGATTTGACTTTCGGTCTTCTTGTATTATGATGGCTCTGATACGAGGCAATTACCTTTTAGTCTCTCAATAGAAGGCATTTATCATTAAAAGTATCAAATCTGTGTCCTACAGTATGGGATTTCTGTCGCATAATATTGAATATTACGTTTACTTACAAACCAATTACTTTTAAAGGTAGCTTCATCAGACAATCAAATTTTAGTTAAATGTCTGAATCTTCATGAACTGTATTAAGCATATGTATTGCGGTTTGAATCACCCTGTATGTTGACAAAAATATTTTAAAAATGTGCGTTACAATGGCCCCCATCTTATGTAGAAAATTGAAATAAAAATCAGAAACCAAAAACGTAATAGGTAAAGAGCTTTTTTGAAGGCGTGTGTCACTCTGTATATAGGTATGTATAAAACTAGTAGCCTAAAAGTTATTTAGAGTTCGTCCCATTCTAAAAAAAGGTAAACACACCGTACAAATAACTCTAGGAAGAGGTATTTGTACGGTGGTAAAAAATTGTCTAAACAAGGCCGAAGGGGCAGATATAATAAAGCAGTAAAATGTAAAAAAGGTCGGGTAAACACCTTTGTTTATTTGTTGAACAAAATTCCTTTAGAATATCGTATATAATGACCAAAATATGACGCAATTTTAAGAAAAAAAATGTCACTTTCTGGCTTATAATAAAGTTTCAAATGCAACGTTTATATTCAAATTTGTTATGATCTACAACAGTTAGGTAGTAATTGAGACGAATTATAATTCAATTACCGGCTACTACGTTCTTGTTTTAATAGATCAAAATTCAACAAATATAATTAGAAATTATTTTAATTGTAAGGGGCTCCCTTGTGGGACGCCTATGTACAATTACGGCGGAAATTTGTACCTACCTGGAAAAGACAAATTCGGGTAATTTGAGCTTATTTTTCCACACACTTGACACTGTCGTACCATATTGAAAATTCGCAGATTCAAAAGTACGTTAAATAAAAACAAAAACTACTGAAAAGTTCACTTCGGACTTGATTCCGACTTCAAACACACCGTAAGCTAAACGTAGTACGCTATAACGGACCAAGGCCGTCGCGAGGGGTGGTGGGACGGACGGCTAATTTTCATTCTGGAAGACTAGCAGCGACGTTGCCAATAGTTCTAGACGTTTCAGCACATTAAACAGTAAACATGTCCTTTAATAGTAACGCAGATATCCTCTGGTTAATTACGAATGCTTCTTTAAAAATAAACTATTAATTTAATTAAGAAATTGAGATTTATTGATATACGGTGAAGGTTTTAAAGTCACCTTTTCTGCAAATCAAACTAAGTAGATAGGCGCAAATTTGAGATTTTGCAATGTCGCCTTCTCTATCTCAGTTGGTTTTTACAGTACGTGGTCAACCTCCGATTGTTTGATCGGGTTAAAATGCACAATGTGATATCTGTTCTTCCTAAATCTATGGTTATTCTACATTCTTATGGGGGATAGTCACTGCCACATTACATAATCTATTGTATTTCACTGTCTTGGAGTTATAATATATCTTTGACTAACTTTGAATTGATGGTTACTGAATTGATCGCTTTTAATGCTGCTTGACTCTCGGATAAAGGCGCATTCCCACGACTCGTGTAGTTGACAAACATTTGTTATTGGAATATACTCGCCATGTCGTGAGAAGGGTTTCACTCTGTCGGTAAATATAGCCCGAGTCAAAGGATCACAATAATTATTCGTACACTTGCCAAGTGTACTAGGCCAGCCTTGTCTATACTTGCCGAAGTGCAAAAAAAGACTGCGCAAATAATTGTACTGTTAATACTCTATAACAGTACTATTATACTAACTATAAAGACGGGACATACTCTATAACAGTGTACTGTTATAGAGTATGTCCCGTTTATTTCCGGATCGTAGTGTTTTTCGAGTTAATAGCGGATAATTTAAAACGTTAAAACAATAATGGATTATATAATATCAAATTTACATTAATAACTTCAATATTGGCGACATTCGTAAATCGTTCCTTCAGCAAAGAATGTAGTGGACAAATGAAGACTACACTGGAAAAACCAGATATGTCACATTTTTTATAGAAATTAATCGATAAAACGTTATAGTTAGCGTCATTCGAGAAAAAAAAAACAAAGCAATAATACGCTTAGTCCCAGAGATATTCAGCTTGGTTATTTTGCCGTACAAAGGAAAAACCAGAGTAGTAAATGGCAAAAACGGGAAAAGTCCTTACGCATGGGCGACAAGCATGCATCTTGCAATTAGTAGATACTACATGTAGTAAATTTATGTATCCTAATGAAAACCTACTTAAATATTAATTTTCTTCCTGCAACAAAAAAATAATAGTTTAGATTTAGGTTTTATACAACCT